TGTTAAACAACAACTTTCTCTTTATTTTTCTTTACTTCACATTTGACTACTTGAAATTGTGTTGTGTTTTGTGTACTTCCAACTTCACTATAATTCATACTTCGTAATAAAAAATAAAATTTTTTTATATAGTGGGTTTCACGTCGTTCGAATTCAAATTATTGAATAATAAATATTATAAAATAGTCTTCATGCGATATTATTATAGCAAGATTCTATATTCGGGAAGAGAACATTTGGGCAAGCATGCTAAATATAATCATATCTTGAAAAAGCATGAACGAAAATTCTAATTTCACATTGTTTGCTTGTTAAATAAACAGTACTATCAGCCAAAGTAAGTTGTAAAGCATTATCGGTTACTCTTCAATAAGAAAAACAGTAGATTGTACATATGTAAATCAGGGTTATAGCTCAGATCGGACAGTTCTAGCTCTTGCAGAATCTTTGGTCGTATATCAATAGTTTCCGTCAACATCTGTGCCGCTAATCGATATTTTAACACTACTTCTAGATCATGTTTCATAAAGTGTTTCTTATCTATTTAATTACTTTCTATTTCGTTCAATTCTTCTCCTAAAATAGTTTCTCCTTTAGCTTTTTCTTGATGATGACATGGCTTTTTGGCATTTATTTTTTTTGCTTCTATTGTTCATATAAATCATTTATAGTTGCTTTATATATTTCTAATATGTATATCTTCTCTCGTTGATTCATTCCAATAGAAAATTGTTTCAATATTAAAATTTTCCTTTTTTTCGGCAGCGAGAATAATTGCGAATCATTCAAAGTTTCTTGGTCAACAATGACCACACGTTTCAAATCTATAGAAAAAAAACAAAGATAGGGAGAAAAAGAGAATGTTTTCTATTTAAAATTAAGAATTATTTCATCATCATATAAATATAATATGGCTATTATAGAAAGCCGGCAAATTTATGACAAGTGACAACAAACAAAAAGTAGATTGCATATTAATAAAAAAAATGAAAACAATTTATATAATGATGAAGTGAGCAAAGGGATTACGGGGAAGTAAGAAGTCGACTAAAAGGCTGTCAAAATTTAAAAAAAAGAGAGAAAAAGATGAGAAATCCTTCCGTTTAGGTATATGATTCTTCTCGAGGTAGAGATGGTTCAAGATTTGGAATAAGTGGTGATTCATCATTTCGATCAAGATCATTATTGGGTGATTCATGTTGATGATGATAATGAATAGGTATTTGATGAGATTCTGTACGAGATTTCGGTTGTGGAAAAGATGCACGCAGAACAACCGAATGCTTCTTGTGAAGATCAACAGATGGTAATTTATCGGCATCAATTCTACCTTTGTAAATCACACCATCATGACCTTTGATATCGACTTCATTTCTATTGAGAAAACTAAAGATATACAAAAAAAGATTTTAACTATTCAAATTTTACCTTGTAAGAACTGGTTCTTCGGGTACACCTAATCTAAAAAAAGAAGATAAGTAAAATGATATTATTTCTGTAGGAATTAATCGAATAATAATACTCACTGTCCTTTTGTTTGTCTTTTAAATGGTAGCGTCATTGTATGCGAGCCACCACATTGTCGAACAGTTGCATAAACATCTGCTGCTCCTCCACTGAGTTCATGAGTTAATTGTTGACTAAATGGTTTTTGGATAGAAAATGATTTCTTGAATCAGTTTCGGATTTCAAAATATTAATCGAAACAAACCTCTTTTGAAATTGTCGAATTTGATCGAGTTCGTATGTGGTATATGGTCGAGGCGATTGAATAGGACGCATAGCTTGATTGATGGGAAGACTTGGCTGCTGTCTAAAACAGAAGATCTCAATTTGACAATGAATAAACTAGAGATGACACGAACGGATGCGGTTGAACATCAATAGGTCGATCGCAACTGATACAATGAAAACGGATAAGTTGTTTTCGTAGACCTGCAGCTTCATCTTCTGACATAACATGTACATGTTGTTGTTGAGTTTGTTGTTGTTCTTTCTTTAAAATCAGAAAGTATGAAATAAATCTTTCTTGTACACGTCAAATGATTTGATGCTATTCAATAATGAAACTTACCGCTAGTCGTTTAAGTTTTTTCATTTGCTTTTCCATGTAATCACGTAGAGCATCGAGTTCTAAACGATCTAGTTTACTGTCAATTTCATGGTTCATTTTATCTAAATCTTGTTTTTGAGTATCATCCTGAAAAAACGAAGAAATCAGTATCTATTCGATAGATGGACAACGATTATCATCATACATGCACACAGAATCTTTGCAAACAATCATTTATATTTTGTGATAATTCACCGCAAGCCGAGTTGAAATCTTTTTTCAAGACTCGATTTTCAATATCTCGTTTGTCTGCTTTCTGATAAAATATAATAAATAAATTAGTCTTTGATAGGTTTATTGTATTTACTTTGTCAAGTTCATTGTTAACATACGCCTTATCAGCTTTTGTCTGATCTAATTGTTGAACTAGTTTTTTCAATGTCTAGTAAAATAATATTATCAATGTTTATAATTAAATATTTAGTCAAACATATAGAACATACTTCAATATCTTGAGCAGATAAATTTCCTTTATTTGTCAGATCTTGTATTAATTTTCTAATTCGATCTAATTCTTCACGTAAACGTTGTAAAGCGGTACGAAAATCAGCCATTTCACCGGAATAATCCGTTCGTGACTAGAAGAGATTTCTTTGAATAAGCAAATATTTTATTGGGAAATACCTGTGAAGGAACTTCTCTAATTATTTCACGTACGGGTGATGGAGCAGAATTATCCTACAATAAATAAGAATCAATGGAATACAATATAATTTAAAATCATGTTACAGATTTTTTTCTATTCTGTTTATCATTAGTAGACTTAGTTGTCAATAGAATTTCGATGATTGTTTCAAAATAAATCTTTGATTGACTGATATTCTCTATTTTGTTTAACTTATTGAGAAAACTTCATTTTGAAATATATATATATGTATAGATGCACACACACCTCATTAGTAATTGACGTATATTTGATTTTTTCAATGTACGTATTTGATAGAATATATAACGTAAATAAGCACCTAACATTTTCCAATTAGTTGGTGAATAATAATTAGTTATATTAAGATATTGTGCACATGGTGAAGTAAGAAAAACGAGTTTTTCTTGCATATTATTAATGTTTGACATCAGCTAAAAATGAAAGACCATCTGGTACACCTCTCTTATCATTCCTATATCAACGTATTTATTATTGGTTCAACCGATCAACATGATCACTACAATGATAAAGCTATTTTCTCCGTGCTATGTGTGCTTACTTTCTCTCTCTATCTCGCTCTTTCCATTGATAAAGTAATATTTTTCTCTTGATCTTTTCTTTTTCTTTTATCTCAGATAGATTACATTCATTTTGATTTCCTGTATACGTCGACATAGTCACAAACTCATAAAGGTGTCTAATCTAGTCGTGAAGACCAGCATGATTCGTTGGTGATTTCAATTCGTATTATGCTGCAATTTCACGATATGAATAACACTATACGTATCTCAATTATTTTTGTCTCCGTCTTATTCTATTGATGAAAATATTAAAAACATACGACGCATGTTTATATAAAGAAAATTGATTGGATAAGAACAGCATGAAATTACTACTTGAATGTTACAGCTAGAAAATATATTGTTATTACGTACATTTATTCCTTGTGATTGAAGATGATCAACAGTTCGTTCCAGCGATGCTAAACGATCCAGTAAATCATAATATTGATTTTTAAACGCTTCAAATTCGTCACGATCGAGTTTGTTTAGCTTAAGAAATGTATTTTTTTCAATATATGCATTATTATTTTTCTTTTTTTAATACTTCAAGTGCTTCAACTAATGCTCGTAGTTGTTCATGTCGATGATTTAATGTTCCCAGTGTTTCCAAAATCTCAGCAAGTCTATCCGATGGAACAGTATTAGTTACTACTGGTGAATCCTAAACAAACAAAAACAAAATTCATGTTTTATTGGTTTCATATTTAATCAAAACAAAAGAGTCACCATCAATCAATTGTAACATTAGAAAAAATAAATGTTTAGCGTTTACCTTTCGTTTTGCTGACTAAAATATTTCAAAAAGAAACAGAAATTTTTAAATAGAAAATAAAAAATGTTGCCTCACAGTTTGACTTTGTCGTTCAATGACTTGTACAGGTGGTCGAGTATCTTTTGCTGAGGCCAAAGCAGCAGCTGCATCATGTGATGACTTTTCTATTGATTCTCGAATACCTTTAAGAGCATCTTCTAATCGATCCCATGTAACATAACCGCTTAAGTCAGGCATGACAACACCATCTGAATTTTCTCTCGGTATTTCATTGAGACGATCACGTAACGATGCCTATATATATTTTAAAGGTATTGTACGTATTTAAAAATAACAATTTCGATTTTTACCAGTAAATTTTGTAAATTACGAATTTTTTCTTCTAAATTTTCAACATCAGATTTTTTAGCCTTAATAAAAACAAATAGTTGAATAAAACAATTTCATTGAATATAGATGCTAAAACTACCCAATCATTTTTCTCGTTATTTAACATGTCAACAATACGTTGAAGTTCATCGTGTTGTTTTTTAAGATCATCCGTTGTCTTTTTCATTGATTCATTTGACTCTTTTAAATCGTCCATTTCTGAAAAAAGATCTTGAAGTAGCGAAGCAAGCTAAATAGAAACGATTTATAATGAACAAAAAAAATTATTTCCATAGATTAGCGTACTCGTGTTATTCCATTTTCAGCTGATTCAATACGTTTTTCCATTTGTGTATACTGCCAAATTTCTAGAATGGGCCCATGTCGATTCGTTGGTCTTGTTTGATCATCATGATCCGATGTTTTTCTTTGCATTTGTTTAGTTCGATCGATAACTTCTGCATTTGATGGTATTTGATTGAAAGCATCTAATTGAGATTCAAAACGAAATATTTTTTCTTCTAATGCATTAAGACGATCTGAACTGCGATCACGTATTCTTCGTTGAGCTTTCTTATTCGTTTCATTTTCGTTATCACTAGTTGCAATTTCCTGTTTGTCGAATGAAACATGTTGTTTCAGTGGTGGTGATGATGATGATGTTGCTATTGTTGTTGAAAGTGCTTCTTTAAGTGTACGTTGATCGTCATCAGACATTGTTGGTTTATAATTGTATAGATTCATTGCTTTAAGCATTTGTAAAAGAAGAGTTTTCAAAACATTAAAATTTACCGCACCTGCTTCGGGATCACCTAAGGACAGGTGAACCAATTGTTCGAGTGAGAGAATATCAGCCATCTACAAAATATAACAAAATCTTAATAATCAAGTTCGGTTTTCTTCCACTATGTTTATCCGAACGCATACAAATATATGTATGCAAGTGCGAACGTCAAATCTTCCAAAATTGAAATAATTTCTTTCAAGAAGATTTTTCTAATCATTGAGTCCAATGGCATCATAAAGGAATGCGAGAGCTCCTAATCAATATTCTTTTAAATAAAATTTGTTGTTAACATACGACAAACCGTTTTTTTTTCTTCCTTTCTTACTGTCACCTTTCCGAACGGTACATACTTGCGATCATAGATGCTTTTCTCTCTCTGGCTTTTTTTTTGCTGTCTGATGCGACGATGAATTCAATATAACGTTACTCAAAAGAAACAGAGGGGAAAAAATATAATCAACATGATAATTTTTGTTTGTAGAGAGTTAAAGAACAAGCAAGAATTTCTTCTCTTCAAACAACCATTTGCTTTTTCTTTTTCCATGGTCTGATCTCCATTAATGAACAAATAACCAGTGTAACGACTGGCGCCATCGTTTCAATTTATTTTTAGTAAAAGAAAAATCATAAATTCATTTTTCGACACGACCAAGAATTAGATAAAAAAATAAACCATATAAGTTGTATAACAAACGACTTTTGTTCACAGATAAGAATGAAATCTATTCCAACGATAGACTTCTTATACTTTCGTTATCTTAAAGCATTTATTAGAATAAGCTCATATTCATATCGGTACCTATTGAGATTGATAAAACAGAATTCAAATGAAATTTGTCAACGTCTTTGACTTGATGAATGAATATAAAATTTGAATATTTATTTAACTTTGAAACCCAAACAAAACTTGTTCGACTTCTTTTCAAGTTTAATTCAAGTCTACGTAATACGTAGTCAGCTATTTGAGAAGATCAACAAATAAAAATAGTTGCTTTTGCATCAGTTAAACAGAACACTTGAGTTAGATTGATGCTCTTGTCGTCTACAAATAATGTGCCGGTATGTAAACATTTATTCTCCGAATTGATTCTTTGAGGTGACAATGTATTCTTTCATTATGTTTGAATTAGTATGAAATGTATTCATCTTTTATTTCTGATTATAGTAAATACGAAAAACAAAACTTGTTTCTTTTCTAATAATGACAAAAGCAAAACAAACGTTTTCTTGTATAAATTCAGGAAGAAGACTTAAATACATTCCAAAGGCATGCCTAGATGAAACATACATCAGCAAAAAACCGAGAAAAAAGATTACAACAACAAAAAATTCGAACCAAACGAATAATCTTAATTAGATTAAAGTATTTTTAGTTAGATGAGTGCCACCGGTATATATTATCAGTCTTGATCGTCAAGCTCAATCCTAAAAATAAATAAAAGACAATGCTTACTTTCATCACTCATCTATATAAAAAGAACGGATTCTCTTCAAACAAATTCAGAAACTACTGATCATAACCGAAAGTTTGCAACTGTCAAAACATACTTTTCACATATGGTTTTCATCAGTTAATGAGTCAATAGAAATGTTGCCTATGGAAAAATCTGCAGCTTCACATTCGAGAAAGCATGCTTTCGCCTATTTTATACTAAAACGACGAAAAAAAATATGTGGAAACTAAACGAGATATTCTTTCTTCAAGCTTATAATTACAACTGTGAGCCACTGAAAACAAATCAGAAATGTGTTCAGGTTACAAACAGCAATCAGTTTACTGTGGAAAACATTCTCCCAATAGTTTATAAATGGATTGTTACTATGAACTGAAGCGAACCGACTTTTTTTGGATTTAATTCATCATTTTAAAAACTAAATTTCAACGAGTAGTTTAAGCAAATTTTACTTTTCGGAAAAAAAACGAAACTTTTAGTATAATCCTGTCGGCTTCATACGCATGATAACTGCACTGTCTAATCATGTAACTGAATTGAAATATTTGATTCGTTTTGTTAAATCTTACAAAGTACGCCAAGAGAGTTTCAATCGACTTACTCAGCTCGGTTGTCATCTGACTTTGCAGGACGATTAGTATCGCCGTTGGGTGTTGCTGACCGATGACGTTCGTTACTAGGAGAACGTGAAGCTTTTTTACTAAAATTTCAAAATAAATTATTCATTGAGATAAAAGCTTAACTGCTTACCCATTGTCTCTACGTGGTGGTGAACGCTTATCACTACGATCTGAATTTGATGACGAATGACGACGACGTTTATGTTCGCGCTTTGATGTCTTAGGTCGTTCATCTCGACGATTATCTTTTTTTTTTGAAGAAACCAGATTCAGTTTTATCAACATACCAACAAAAACAACGTACCACGTGGAGATGGAGATCGTGTTCGTCTACGACTACTGCTACCACCGGATCGTCGGTAATACGGACTACGGGAGCGACTTCTATAAAAATAGGAAAATAAAAATAAAATTTCATAAGAAATATTTTTTGAAAAATAATCGTGAAAACACTATGACAGAAAAAAAGGGATATGGAGTCGTACATTGCTGTTGATCGATCTGTCTAATAAAATATGATGTACTCTAATAACATACCTTTTTTTTTCTTACTTCAAATTCTCTGCCAAAGAATGTCACTAAATACGTATGATCGATCCACCCAATAGGTAGAAGATACACAAACAGAAGAGAAGGAGAAGAATCAACAAAGAAACAAGAATCGAGCACAAAACCAAATTATTCATTTTAAAACTGCTGCTGCTATTCCAACCAAGTCAATCATTTTCAACCATTAATCATCAACAGCTAGAAAAATAATCAAATATATATCGAGAGGAACAGCAACAGAATATTAAACTATCTCAGAACACATAATTTTCATAGAAACGATGGGCAAACATAAACAAACTTTCAACGATATAAAAATAAAACTTAAACTACCGTGAATAACGACGACGACTGCTATATGAATCTCGATAGCCACGACGAAATGAAGGTGATGGCGAACCTAAAATTATAAATATCGTAGTTACCGTAATTTTGTATGGAATTCAAACTTGAAACATATAGTCGGTAATAGCAGGCCTGCTTCGTTTCTATCAAATTCTTTCAAAAAAAAATTCCGAGAAATCATATAGTAACCGACGGACTCGCTAAACTATCCTTTCTATAGCACTCACCGCTACATATGATGGCTCTTGGTCATAATCTTCACGTTTAGAACGTGTTTCACAAGATAAATATGCGAAAACAATTACTTACGATTACGCGATCGTCCACCATAATGTCTTGGTCGAGCCCAACTCAGACCAATTCTTGAACCAGCAAAAATTCTATAAAGTTCATTTCATATTTCTTTAGAGATAAAAAAAAGTCTATTGATCTTACGATCCATCAAGCTCTTTTATTGCTCGTTCTGCGTCAGACCGATGACGAAAATTGATAAATGAAAAACAAGGTGGATTAGATGCAACCCATATCTATATAGAGAAAAGATTAATTTGGAAAAAAAAATTATCATCTAAAAGTTCAGACCTCATTTAATTCTCCATATGGACGAAAGAGTTTTTCAATTTCATGTTTACTAACACCCACAGATAGATCTGATAGATGAATACGATGACCAGCTGCACCGTCCTGAAAAAAACTGTTTTTCTATTCATTTAACTGATGATATCAAACACATACCCATTGTTTCGATCGTGCTGTACGACCTGAACCAGTTGATGAGAGTGAACCCTCACGATCTCGGCTGCGACCCATTGAAATTTATCGATGAAGACAAAAAGAAAGAAATCTAGAACAACAAACAGACACTAATCAAACTTGGTACAATACACAAGAAAATTTTTCACAAGACATCATTGAGTTAAACAAAGAAGAAAAACGACACCAAGAAAAGAAAAACAGTGATGTTGCAATTGAATTAAATCCTGTTTACATATTTTCAAAACCAAGAAAAAAAAACAAGAACCGTTTAATTTCCATTCACATATACCATTAATCATCATTTTCCTTGTATCTAAAGCAATTCAAAATGATAATTAGCAAAGAACTCACTGAATAACAAACTACTTTACCGATGAACAACATTTGCTGCTTGTTGTTGTGGTGAACGATCTCGTGATGATGGGCGATTACGACGTGGTCTAAATAAGATATACATCATATTAGATTATTTAAAGTCTTTTGTTTGAGTATTAGTTCTGGTAATGTAGTTGGAAATGCCGGATTTACGGCAGGCTAGTCATCGTAAGTCGCCGGTATATGGATAGGTTTTCTTCAAATGGCAGCTTATTTGAAGGAATGTCCTTAAGATGCTACTACAAGCGGGCATATGATGATATATCAGCTTTACTGTACCCTGGACGACATGTCTATACAACATTCGGCACTTTGAAAAATTTTCCAATGAACTCGTCTCGGAAATTACAAGATTCTTAAGAGTTAAAAAAAGACTCATACATAAGGTAATACGACTACATACTTACCATAAAGTAAAGATCTTGTGACTCTCTCTGATAGCAGTGAAGCAAAAAGCCAAAAATCATGAGAAACATTTCCAGAATATCAGGCCTCACACTTCTTCTCCAAAGTTTATTAGTACCCAATGACATTAGAGACAAGACTTAGATCATTGTTACACATTCCTAAAACTTTTAATAGCTGGAACGTGCAATATTGCATATATTATACACGTATAAACGATTATGTTAAAGTCCGTCAAAAAAGATGATGCCTTGGTTTGCCGCATGCGTTATACGATCAATAAAACAATTAGAAACTGATCAAATTATAACTTTCGTGAATAAACAAAACCAATATTTCAGAACTTATTCAAACATATGTACATATATAATGGTGTGTTGAAATCTCCATGGGATACAAAGTGTACAACAAGCATTAAAACCGTTTGGTTGCCAATGTCATATGGAATCATTTTACACGGTGAACATTCTCATTTTTAAAATGCATCTATACATTGCCAGCAGTCCAATGTTCAATCAACACGAACATTCAGTTTAACAACTTACTTTGGTGATGCTGATCTTGATCGTGGGCGATAATCACGCTTATGCTGGACTGGACTACGCGATCGTGAATATCGTCGTCGGCGATCATTGTATCTAGTTATTCAAATAGATATATTTTCATGGAAAAATTATTCATTTTGCATACCTATCGCGACCATCATCCCGAGGCGAAAAACGACGACGATAGCGTGGTGAATCACGATTTCCACGTGAATAACGATCACCACCGTTACCATACGAACCGCCACCACCGCCGCCGCCACCACGACGGCCACCTATTGTTCGTTTACGTGCAAACGAAATACCAACTCGAGAATTATCAATCGTTCTAATAATACAGAAATATTCATATTATGCCATTTACCACCGACAAGAAATTCAGCTTACTTTCCATCCATTGCTTGTATTGCTTCTTCAGCGTCAGCACGATGTTTAAAATTGACAAAAGCAAAACATGGTGGATTGGTTGCCATCCAGACCTTAATTTTTAAAAGAAAATAATTGAAATGGTTTCTAAACAAAAATAAGCCGCTTAGCATACTTCATTAATTTGACCATATTTTGAAAAGATTTCTTCAATATCGCGACGTGTTGTTCGTGGATTAAGTGGAGAAACATGTAAACGGTAACCTGATTCACCGTTCCAATCCCGTGATTTTGCTGCACGACCACTATTTTGACACACGAAAAAAAAGAAAAGATTAATGAATCACGAAAAAAAGTAAGCACTGCATACGATGATGTTGACGAAAGTGAACCTGATTTTGAGCGTGATCTTGATTTCGATTTTGATGGAGATCTTGATGCACTTCTATCGTGACTCCGATTTCGACTTTGGCTCATGTTTCTTTTCTTTCAAATAAATTTATCTGAAAAAAATAAAATGCAAAAAAAAAAGATAGTTAATATCATTTGGAAAAAAGCATGTGCTTGGCAGTATACCTAATCTCCCTACAATTGGCAAGTTTTCACCATTCCCCACTGATCCCAATGCCAGATTCACTCAAAATTTCTTCCACTTCCTTACAAAACACATATTACCATGTTATCTCCATACATAACCATTAGGAAAGAGAAAAACACGAAAATCTCAAGTTCGCTTTAGGCAAGTATTCAAACATTCATTGATAAAAATCTTGGAATCTAGAAGAGAGTAAACGTTTTCGTTTCCTATCTATTGGATATCTTACTTTGCGATCAGATAGAAAATTCCCACTTTTAACATCAACGGGGGGGAACTGGGAAAAAGGGAAAGGAATCAATATGGCCGTGAAATATTATATTGACTCAGGTTTTGGGCGTTTTTCCGTTGGAAAATGTTTTTGACAAAAGGCCATGATCTGCTCCAGTATATCCCCTCGAAAATCGTCACTGATTAAAGTAGCCACATTTGATGGATTACATATAAAATATGGCATATTAATTCTGAAAACAAACTATTTAAATCACAATAAAATAACCAAATATTTATTTTTTTTTAAAAGCAGAATTTTAAGTTTAACCTGTGATAGTAAACCTACGTGCAACAATGATGAAATTACCCAAATGTCATAATTTTAATCTTTGTTGTTGTTGTTGTTTTTCTCTCATGTTACAACGTATCACAACTTCTTTCTTTTTTAAAATGAATAATGATAGTGCAACGACCGTCAATGTAAATATACGAAGAAGAAGAAGAATAATAATAAAAAGAACGAACGAGAGGAAGTAGAATGAATAGAGATTGGTCGTGTTTATTTATTAGTGACATCATTACGCTTTTACCTAGTTAATCTATGGATGAAATGTATTGCAAGTAGTGCCATTGTAGTGGTAGTGGGTATTAGACATTGTTTAATTTTATTTAGAAAATATAAAGATGACGCTAGTATACTGTATGACATATTTGCCTTCAATAAAATACTGTACAATATCAAGACTATAAACAAGTTCGAATTGTATTCGTTCTATCGAACTATCTTAGAATTTTCAGGTTATATATTTTGAATTGCATACAATTTTTACAAATCACTGGAGTTCTTGAGTATCAATAGGTTTTGTTTTCTACTTGAGAACAATGAAGACGGAATAAGAATTCCTTTAAATGAAGTGCTGCCGCAAATATATATTTAATGAATAGCATAAGCTGAAAAATTTTCATACCAAACTGTTGTTGTGTGATCAATTATTGGTAACTTGAGAAGGAAAAGTAGTTGACTTATTGAATTATAATCACTGATAAGTATCAAATAGTTTGTATCTTGATTTTTGACCATTCTATCTCGCTGATAGCATACAGCTAAATTAACTAAAAAAAATATTAATTGATAAAATAAGAAGAGGAATTTCTTGTCAATCAAAGGCATGTTTTTTTTCCGAAACGTCCAAAAAACGTTTTGCGTCTCGAGAACAAGTCAGCACATGCGTAATAGTATAGATTGCCAATATTTTCTTAGAAACAATGAGAGACTACTGAACTGATTCCTGAGAATTTCATAGAATTCTGTGTCGTTACTCGATCGGTAAAGAGAACATCAATCGACTCATTTGCTTAAAAATCTACTGTCAAGGAAATGACTCAATGAAATTTCAAATCTTAAATTGCATTTTCTTCAAACGAGAAAAATCGTTAGAAATGCTTGCCGGTGCCTTTTGCTTTCTATTACTCGTGACAAAGGAAAACTTCCTAATAGAGCGATTATGATTGACAAAAAAAAGAATAGAAGGAGAAAAACTGTTTCTTCATTGATTGCTTTTTGCTTTTTTTCTTCGCACCCGTTTACACGTTCAATTTGAACGACACAAAAGCAAGCATACCCAATTTCTTTTCTTTTTTTAAACAGTCAAAAGCAAACGACTTCTAACTATGCCTGAGCCACAGTATACCCAAGAACAAGAAAATGAACTTCTGCAACATATTTTTTTCGGTAAATTGGATAATTTACCAAATCTTGCATCGAAAATTGTTCGTATTTTTACATCATCTACATTCACTGGTAAAATAAGTTCTCATTAAACAAAATAAAAAACTTCAATTCTTTTTTTTTTCAATATTTTATCTAGATACAAGTATGGAACGTAATTCACTCATGCAACATACATATCCTAAACTGAAAGAATATTGTCGAGAAAAGCATGGTCTTGAATTTCAAGTTGTTGATATGCGTTGGGGTGTTCGTGATGAAGCAACAGATGATCATAAAACAACAGAATTGTGTATGCAAGAAATTGATAACTGTCAACGAGTTTCGGTTGGACCGAATTTTGTGGTATGGAAAAACAAAATTTGTCTGATTTTTATCAAAAAAAGCTTTTACTATCAATTACGTGATTAAGAATAGCAAAAGCAAAATTTGCTTTCTAACAGCAAAAGAAAAATATTGAATAACTTGCGTAAACATTTGACTTTTCCAAAAAAGAATACACGTGGAAATCTTTCCTTGGCAACGTTACCTGGCAAAATTAAGATACATGTTTCTCAGAGTTTTTTAGGCCTATTCTTTTCTACATTACATACATATAAAGTTACTCTAAAGATATCAAATTTCCATTCATGTATTTGATTTCAAACCAAAAGATCGCTATTTAAAGTTTTCCTTTCTGAACCTATTTAGAACTTCAAAAAACAAAATTGATTTGTTTTTCACTAACAACATAAAGGAGTACTAGTATATAATCGAAAAGGAAGTAAACAAAAACTATTCAATCTTGCTCAAAATAGTCTAGCCATGCTCTTTTAGTAATAAAGTTATTGGCGTATTTAATCTTAGGTATTTCTCGGTCAAAAATATGGTTATCGACCATTGCCAACAAAAATTGAAGAAGATGAATTTCTTAAGATTACATCTGTATCAAACAGCGAAGATGATAAATTACTTAATCAATGGTATAAACTTGATTTAAATAATTTCCCGAGTGTATATTGTTTACAACCTGTCAGTTCAATATTTACTAATTTTACTAATCGAGCTCATCCACGTCTTATGGAAGAAGATCAAAGTCAATGGTGGGAAACAATGGGTAAATTAAATCGAGCCGTACGTGTAGCTGCTGCTGAACTTTTACAACAAGGCCGTTTTACTGCACAAGATAATCATCGATATAATTGGTCAGGTAAGTAAATAAGAATAGATTTATTTTATCAAAAACAAAAAATAAATCACCAATATTCTTTTCTGTAGTTACTGAACAAGAAGTTGTACGTGGAATATTAAATGCCAAAGATGTAAAAGAGCATACGCTAGCTTTTTTTCGTCATATTGAAAATATAAATGTTAGTTTATTACGTCATTCAATGAAATTTATTGATATTGCAGCAAAACAAGTAGATACGGAAGCACAACGTATGTTATCTGATTTACGTGACGTTCGTGTAAGTTAAATGCTAATAAGAATCAGACGCAGAAGAAAAGATTCTACTTGAATTATTCATTTATAGGTTCCAGCAACATTACCCGAATCAACTATTCTTCGATATACCGTTCAATGGTCCGATGATGATGGTTTGAACAAAACTGTTCATGCTGAATATTTACAAAATTTTATTGAGACATTCTATCGGCGTATTGTCGAATTAATTGATCAAGGCGTTCGAGCACAACATGCGTTAGCAGCTAATAGGTAATTGAATTAGATTGATATCGGATTATTATATCAAACCTAAATAGGAAAAATTTAAAGTTATTTTTCTTCTGCACTTCAAATCTGATTGAATTGAATTTGCCGAAGAGTACAAAAACCCCTTTCATATAAACGTTTCTTGTTTTATTAAAATTTTTCTTTCCAAGAGTTTATACTGAAATTCTCCAACAACTCCATGCCGTCAATAATTTCAGTCAGGATTTTCAAGGTCGCACCGATATTCTAGAACGGGTTCGTAACTATGTTCAAGGTCCATCAAAACAACCATTAGTTTTATGGGGCGAAGGGGGCTGTGGAAAATCTAGTATGCTGGCAAAAATAGCTGCAGACTCGTCATCATGGTTTCCACCGAAACAATATAACCCGATACGACTTATCCGTTTTCTTGGTACAACACCAGATAGCTCATCGATTGGACCATTATTACGTAGTGTTTGTCAACAATTATGTTTTCTATATCAAGTACCCGAGAATACAATACCAGTGGAATTGTCTCAGTTGATAAATTATTTTAAACGTTTATTAGAAAAAACACCAGCTGATAAACCATTGTGCATATTTTTCGATTCACTAGATCAATTATCATCTGCTGATGGTGCACATTCAATGTCTTGGTTACCACCAACGCTTCCAAATTACGTTAAAATTGTACGTAGAAAAAACGAATTTCTTTCGAAATTTTTAATAACCTATTATTGATGAACTCCAGATTGTTTCAACACTACCTGGAATATTTAATATTTTAAGTACACTTCGAAATATCATTGAAAGTCGCGAAAATTTCGTTCAAGTTTGTATATTTATGCATTTGTTCTTTAAATTAGCGTTTATTTTTCGAATTTAGATTAAACCATTAGGTGAAGAATTAGCTAAAACTGTATTAGTGGCACGATTAAGTCGTCAACATCGGAAAATAACAGATGCACAATGGTTTGTAATAGATATGCAGGAAACTCAATCGAAACTACGGTCGTTTTGAATGATAAATACGTCAGACCTACTTAGAATACAAGCAATGATAAGAAAACTAAAACGAAAGAACGGATACAATTGCTCGTATACTAGTCACAGGGATCGACTTGCCATAGTATAGCTATTGTATTATGAAGAGAGGATGGTCGAGGCCGACACATCGATGTTAATGGTTCTTTAGGAATGATTCAATGACTAAGACCAGTCAGCTTTGTAAATATGTGATGAAAAATATAGCTAATCATCCACGAGGACTTTATCCCAAAAATTCACCAATGTGCTGGACTATCTTGATAGAGTATTAGGAAGCTTTGATAATTCTTGAATCATAGCTTGAGTTCAGCTTATGATCTTTATCTAATTGTTTATCAATAGGGAATTAGTACACGAACGTCTTGCTGAATGTAATATTCCATTATATGTTAAATTAGTCTTCGATGAAATAAAATTATGGAAATCTTATTCTCAACCACAAGAAAAAGACCTTGCTAAAACAGTATCAACATCAATCAATAAATTATTAGGTCGAATTGAAAATCAACATGGGCATATTTTAGTTGAACACGCTTTATCATATATAACTGCGTCAAAATCAGGTTTAAGTGAAGCAGAATTAGAAGATTTAATATCCCTTGATGAAACTGTTTTAAATGATGTTTATCAATATCATTTACCACCTATTCGACGTATTCCACCTTTACTATGGACACGCATAAGAAATGATTTACCAAATTATTTAGTTGAACGTGAAGCAGATGGCGTCTCTGTTGTTTGTTGGTATCATAGACAGTTTGCAGAAGGTAAAAACGATGTAATTTTGCGATTTCACTCAGTAACAATTTATGATGGGGTGTGCGTGGACAGAATATTCAACTTCTTCCTAAACATTTAAGAAAGACATGATTGTCGAGAAAATTTATTGTTGTTCAGTAATTTTTAATGCTTAACTTTTCAACTTTGAAATGTTTTCTTCTTTTTAATCTTCTTCTATAGATACGTATCGATTGAGACTTTCTGATATTCGCTCGAAGGAGACTTGTGTAGTTATCCAAATAGCAATAGTAGTACTATTAGTATGTAGCATTTTATTTTTGAATCATTGTATACGTCATTTATCTAAAGAGTAGACATTCGTGTCTGATGATGTTCGAATAATATTGAAAGAAACATAAGCTACGATCGATTTTGTTTCTCATAGCCGGGATTTAAATGTACATTTTTTATTCAAAAAAGATCTGGTCTGATCAGAAAAGAATTGTATTTTTACTTGTTGTGTCAATGTAAAGAAGTTCGACGTATCCATTTTGATCAGCCTTGAAAACTATTTACTCTGATACCATTGCATACATATATCGGGAAGCTGGAAAGGAACAGGAGAACACTGCGAGTGGCATTCTCTCGCAGGAATCATGTTGTAGAGAAAATATTTGAATTGACAACAAATACTTGATCGCTGTCATTTGATCAGATAAAGCACTTGAATGATAAGAACAGATGAAAGTATGACGATTTCTTTTTCCTACTGAATTCCTTCATCTGATATGCTGATTTGCATCGCATAATCATGATCGGTCAATCAAACGAAAGCAATCCATTGGTAACACATAAATAGTATAAAACGAGCGTATATGCAGCAGATGTATAGAATCCGTTTACATTGATGGCATAATGAGAAAATCGATGGAAGCCAGTTTCTATATTTGAACTCTCTAAAAACACACGAATTTATTCATAGATAAGCGGCGGGGGAGCGTTCAAAGTCAAAAATCAGATTTCTTTTGTTCTGATAATATCGGCTTTCAGAATAGAAATTTGAAATAATACTTCACTTTGATTTTACAATGGAAGCTCTTGTGATAATTTTATGTGATTTTTGAAACGTAGTCACATTCAAAAAGTGATTTTGTGCATTGAATATGCTCGTAACACGTCAAAATGATATCAACAGTAAACTGTTCTTTTTGTTTTAGTCTCTCATGAACGTTATCTGGTAAATGCTGAAACATGTCGAAAATATCATTCTCAAATGTCTGATTATTTTTTGGGTATATGGGCTGGCTGTCCGAAACCATTTCAATTTTCAGAAAATCAAAAGCGCATGTTTAATTTACAAACAACCGATGGCGAAGCAGATCGTAAAGTTCCAGCTCAGCCCGTCATATTCACTGCAAGTACTACGGCAACGAATGCGAATAATACTTCAACTATACGTTATAACCTACGTAAATTAAGTGAACTACCATTTCAATTGACACGTTCACAACGAGAGGATGATTTGTATACTCATGTTTTATTTAATTATGATTTTATTCATTCAAAATTATCCAGTATGCCATTGAATAGTTGCATATTTGATTATGAAAATTCATTTGATTACTATCATGATAAAGAAGTATGTATGATTCTTTGTTTTTTTTTTAATTAGAAGATTTATTAACGTAACTACTGTTGGATTTGTGTAAACTATTTACATCGACCATATATAATCTATTAAACAGTATGGTTTCAATTTTTCAACGAAACTGTTTTCTTTTTCAGGTGAAATTGATGAGCGATGCACTTCGTTTATCCAGTTCAGTCTTAGCTGCCGATCCAAATAATTTAGCATGTCAAATAATTGGTCGCCTACTTCCATTTTATACAACATGTCATAAAATAGCTTCATTTATTGATCAGTGTGAAAGTAATGGTTTACAACATATGGCTCTCGTACCAGCTTACAATACATTAGCATCACCTGGTGGACCACTAGTTTATTCTTTAGAAGCACATCAATTTGCAGTTTATGGTCTCGAGGTTGTTTCAGCAGGTCAACATCTTCTGACTGTATCAAATAAATTTATTGTTTTTGATTTATCAAGTGGTGATATCGTACGAATAATCGATCCTAGAATCGAAGGCATCATGACCTATTTGTCTGTTGCACCTGACCAACGTTATTGTGTAACAATAACAATAAGTAATCAATATATCATATGTAGCTTATTAACAGGAGACATTGTTTTACGAGATTATCAAGCACCTGGGAATAATTCCAATAAAAATCCAACTAAATCAACTGTTTCACAGCCGCCTGCAGATCCATTATTAGGAGCAGCTGTAAGTAACACACATTTTGCATTATGGACTTCAAAAATGTATCAAGTCTATACGAATAAAGGTAGTGAGGAATTTTTCTATTTGAAAATTTCAATTCAATATTAATTGAAGGTGAATTACTTGCGACTCAACCAAGCCGTTATCAAATTATTCAAATTGAAGTTTTGCCTGGACCAGAAATTGAAATTATATGTCGCTCTGAAGATGTTAGAAATGATCAAGAAATAGCTCGTGATCGTTTAACAATTAATTATTGCTTTGTTCCAAATGCTGACAACACCGATGACAATAATACTGAACAACGTTGTTTAACCGGTGGTTTTAAAAATATTCATAGTGCACTTATATTAACGCGTGACAAACGACGAATGTATACATGTTGTGAAATTAATGATAATAATGTGGAAGTATATATTAATCGACCACATCCGGTAAAGTATTCTACTGAACGTGTATGGGCATTCGATCATCAACTGTTCGAAAATAAAGATCGGTAATTCTCAAATTACATGTACTTCTTAACAGAGGCGTAACATCCCACCCTATTTACACCCCGTGGTGGTCGCATTCGATATAGTACTTTTATGGAGAATTATTTAGTAAAAATGACCATATCATGTTTGGACTTGTTTTTTTTTAGGATATTTGCATTTATGTTAAGTAATGATGAAAATTATCTTATGGCAGTTACATTTAAAGGTTTCAAAATCTTTTCATTTCGATCATATTTATGGAAAACTTGTGTATTACCTGGTAGTGTACGTAATATAATGAGTGGTACTAAACGATTAACATATACAGCAGCATTTTCACATGATAATCGGTTTGTCTTTTTTCTCAATACTATTTTCTCAGATATTGAACAATATATTTTTACTTTTTAGTTATTGTATCGCTTGTATTAAATCAACGGTTTACATATTTGGAGTTGAATGGGGAGAATTATTAGCTTCGCTAGATTCACATTTTGGTCGGATACTTGTATTAAAAGGTTTATCAAGTGCTAGTGGTGGAAATAATTATGTTATAACAACGGGCATGGATAAAACAACTAAAGTATGGAATTTAGAAAATGCACGAGAGAAATCAATATCAATATCACAAATGGATAAAGCTATTGAAATGTTACATATATCAACAGAAACACCCGTTATACTAGCACAAACACGTACACAATTATGTTTATTTGACATGAAAACAGGTCTTATATTAACACAATTATCTGCTAGTCAACATGGATCCATGTATCAATGTAAAATGTCAACGACGATGATGTATTCTTTTTTTTTTAATAATTTCATTTTTGTTTTAGGCACAGCATTGTGTTCAAATGGTCTATTTGCTGCAGCTGCTGAGTCAGGTAATTTTGTTATATGGGATATTGAAGAACGAAAAACAACATTCGTAACACCAATTCTAAATATTTACCAATTTCTTATTCATACTGCTGAAACAATGGTATGAAGACGATCAAAATACATAAAGAAACCTCACCAATATTTGCTTTAGATTTTAGTTGTCAACCATGAACCATTGTCATCGGGTGCTCCAAGTGCATCGAATAATGCCAATGCAAATAATGCACAAGCTGAATATATTGTTCGAGCTGTGTCATATGCAATACCTGATGGGGATGTTATGTATAAAATTTCATTTAATATTAAACGTATGCATCTACCAAAAAAAGCTGCATGCACAGTCGATGATACGTATTTAATATTTATTGAGGAGAAAAAAAATAATGATGTACTTTCATTGTATGATCCCATCACTGGTGAACATGTACATAATGTTAAATTGAATTATAATAATTATAAAGATATTACTTCGATGGTTATGATACCCAAACAACCTTTTCTTATTGGATTGATTGATGCAGAAAAAGGCGTTGTGATGAATGTGAGAGATAAAAAGGTACAGAAATATGTTTAAATCGCTGAATATTCAAAATGAATCAAGTAAAACGAAGGAATAGTAATATCAATTTTGTTTCATATTACCGAAAACTGTTTTCATGAGAACTACAGCAAACATATCAAGAGAATTTAGTGAATAGATTATCGTGATAAAAAGCAGCTCAAGATCTCTGCTTAAAATTAGAAAATGAAGAAAAAATTTTCTAAGGCTTAATTTTAAATCATTTTCTTAATTATAGGTTCATTTAATATTACCAAAATGGAGTGGGCAAATATCATACGATGGTAAATATGGTTTATATGCGCCTACTCGTGGTGGTCTTGAAATATTCGAATTTCGCAATGGAAAAGTAGTTCGTACACTGATCGGTAAAGTTGCTGAAGGTGTATTTGATGTCATCACATTTTTTACTCCCACCAATAATCATGTCATCTATTACAATAAAGGCAAACGAACAATACGTGTATTTCGTACAAAAGATGGTCGACAAATAGCTGATATGAAATGTCCAGCAAAAGTTCGACAAGCTGTAGCAACACATGACGGACAAGCATTAGTGGTTGCTTATGAAGATGGAGCTGTTCAAATGTTTTTAATTGCTGATCCATTTGAGCCAGAAAATGTAGAGCATTTAAGACAATGGAGACAACAGCAATTAGAAGCCATGGCCGTCGACCCTGCACAACAAGAAACGACCGATTAATATATTGAATCCAGTGCGCAAGCAATATAAATTTTGTTTGAAAATGAACATTTATTCTTTTATTTTCTCCAAATAAAACATTTTAGAGTATGGGTGATCAAAAAATACTCACATCTATACTCTACGTAAATATAGTATAATGCCTTCAGCAAAACGATTCGATGAAAACACTTGACAGAATTAATTTCTATTCACACATACAACTCAAACAATAATAAAAAATCGTCAGTCGTATACATGAACTATAATTAGTAAAAAATCGCAGTTCGTCGGTATTTGAATGAAACTACATAAACAAACTACGAATAACATATCAAGTTGATTAAGCACTTCCATATGTATAACTACACGATTTCCACTTCCACCACTGAGAAAGAAAGAAAGAATCGGCGAGAATTTTTTTTTCTATTTGAACGATAGACAACACTTGCATATTTCCGTATCATAGGAGAGTGGAAAATCATATAAAAAGAACTTATTCCAACGACTCCTATCAGTATAGTCGTACAACAACGCATGGCTATGATTTAAATTCTTCAACAAATAATTTCAAGTATGTTTTACATTGTTTATTCATTATAATTTTATAATTTTGTTTTTTCTCTTCCTTTTGTTTTAATGTTTTTTATTATTAATTATTTTCTGATTTTTTAATAATTATTATTTATATTTTTAAGACGTTTCGGAGATATCTTTCTCCTTCTTCAGTCCTATTTTATTTGGTGTTATGTTTGTTTTTACTATTTACAATACGTATCTGACTATTATTTTTCTTTTTCTT